TAGATAGCAAGAAAGTATATGACATAGAAATTTAACTCTAACAACCTTAACTGATTCTCAGTCCAAAATGACAACACTATAAAAACTCAGATCAATTTGATTTCACAAAACCAAGGTTTCTATGTACACATATTATAGGCTGGATTTAAATGACCAATGTTACCAAACCATGCTTGCAACTGAGACTTAAACATCTACGTTGGTGCACGACTGGCTATAGAGATTAAATTAACCACCCTGACCACTGAGACCACTATGACGACTGACCAATGAGCCTTAGCCACTATGACGACTGACCAATGAGCCTTAATAGCCACTATGGCCACTGACCAATGAGCCTTAGCCACTATGACCACTGACCAATGAGCCTTAGCCACTATGGCCACTGACCAATGAGCCTTAGCCACTATGACCAATGAGCTATAGCCACTATGACGACTGACCAATGAGCCTTAGCCACTATGGCCACTGACCAATGAGCCTGAAATACCCTAACCACTATGACGACTGACCAATGAGCCTTAGCCACCATGACGACTGACCAATAAGCTATAGCCACTATGATGACTGACCAATGAGCCCTAGCCACTATGGCCACTGACCAATGAGCCTTAGCCACTATGACCACTGACCAATGAGCCTTAGCCACTATGGCCACTGACCAATGAGCCTGAAATACCCTAACCACTATGACGACTGACCAATGAGCCTTAGCCACCATGACGACTGACCAATAAGCTATAGCCACTATGATGACTGAGCAATGAGCCCTAGCCACTATGGCCACTGACCAATGAGCCTTAGCCACTATGACCACTGACCAATGAGCCTTAGCCACTATAACCAATGACCAATGAGCCTTAGCCACTATGGCCACTGACCAATGAGCCCTAGCCACTATGACTACTGACCAATGAGCCTTAGCCACTATGACCACTGACAAATGAGCCTTAGCCACTATGACCACTGACAAATGAGCCTTAAACACTATGGCCACTGACCAATGAGCCTTGGCCACTATGACCACTGACCCTTAGCCACTATGACCACTGACCAATGCATCCATTCCAACCAACGGACTGACTGACTGACCAACCAATGAGACGAAATCACATTCATTCTTTCCAGATTACATTGCTTTTTACTGAAAACATTCATTTAAAATATTCTCTCTCAGTCTCTGTATTTATATGAAAGTCTACCACACCCAAGATCTGTGCACTTTATAACATATGAACTCTCACTATGGTAACCCAATATATATTTAAAATGAGATAAAGAATGTGACACGCCAACACATTAAACATAATTCAATAGTGCTTCTAACACACATGTGCAGTATTATTCATAAATCAGAGTTTGCCAGTATTATTAGCATATTCCATTTAATTTAATCCTAATTAATTAATTATATTATAAAAATGAACATAAGACAAATTAATTAATCACTGAATAATTTTCATATCTACAGTTGTGGAATTATCAGAAGCTTTTAACAGTTACTTTTAATACAGCTGTTGTCATAAAAGTGAAATCCTTGGCAAACTAACAAACCATCGTATCACATTGCACATTCACCCATAAAACATGTATCATTGTAAAGCACTCAGCAGCTAGTTGCAACTGATAAAACATTTTGATGAACTATAGATACAACAATTTTTTTTTTTTCAGTACTAGATAAAATAGGTACTGTTTAATGTTATCTCAAATAAAATAGGCTCCATCTTGAAGTGTCATAATTCTACAAGTGATGATGACTCCAATATTGGTGGTATAATATGACAATTAAGGTAGAGATGCAGTTTATTTGGCTTGCTTTTTAATTGAGTAATTAGACAATGAAGATGGTATTATATATCCAACATGTTATATATTTTCTGAAAGCTTATTATACAAACTTTGTAAAACTTGTCTTTATTTTAAATATCCAGAATGCGTTTTTGACAAAAGTGGTTTAAAAAAAATTAGCTTAAAAACTTCAAGTCCGTTTGTGGGTAAAATTACATCACTGGATACCTTGGTATACTACTAAGTCAAATGCATCCACTCATCTCTCTAACGGCTTTCAAAGTCGCACAGCATGACCTCAAAGTTCACTCTTTTCTATTTTTGCATAATTTATATATCCATGTTAATTGCGGACTTGTTATTTTTGTTCCACGCGCCGCAATAAACTGTCCGAACGCATTTTGAAGGGGGAACACCTTGTCAATAATGTGTGAAAATTTCGAGGCAAATGGCCAAAGCGTCTATCAGCTATTTTAATTTAAAACCTCAGAATCATCAAAATAGAAGAC